TGTTTATTGCTTAATAAGCAAATAAAGAGTCCAGAATTGTTTGCAGTTCCCTCCCCATCCTCACTACTTTACCTGTCCCCAAACTGAGGGTCTAGAGCCAAGTATTTTGTACACAAACTTCTTGGACTAACCTATCCTTTCTTCCTTCCTTTCACCCTTCAGGGTAGGTACCATATTCATTGGAAATAAATTTGGGTCCTTTTTTTTTTTTTTTAGAGTTCTCCCTTCTCATTCTTATTGATTTGATTTCTTTCTCTAAATATATGGAATATTAACAAACTCAAAACTATGCCAAAAGGCATGTATAAAGAAACGTCCCCCCTGCCATCCATTCTCCCACCCCTTGCAGATAAGCAACTTGAGGGTCTTCTGGAATTTCCTTCCTGTGCTGCTTTTTGTAAAAAGAAACATGTGTATGTATGTTTTCCTATTTTCCCTTCTTTCTTACACAGGGCAGCACACCACACATGCTCTTTGGCACTTTGATCTTTGCCCTTAGCAAATATCTCCAGAAATCACTCCTCACGGACATCTTCCTCAATTCTTTTTACAGCTGCACTGTGTGCGTGTACCGTAGTTGATTCAGCCAATCTTTACGCTTGGACATTTAGGTAGTTTCCAGTATTTTGCAATTACAAATAACACTGCGGTGAAGACCCTCGTGTGGTGCATTTTCGTATTGTTGGAGGCGTATCTTCTAGATAAATCCCTGGGCTGAAGGGTAGAGCAGTGATTTAAAGTTTCCTTTTAAAATGTATTTAAGTAAAAAAAGTGAGCTCAGGTAAAATGATTATGTAAATAGATAGTACAGGCAACACTCAGATGTGGCAAACACCGTCAAGGCAGATGACGGAAGTTTGAGCAGAACTGGGCTAGGTCATTGCTGCAGTCCCCTCAGGCTCCAGCACAGAAGCCTGGTTGGGGTCGGGGTTCGTGGTACAGTGACTGTGGTTCTGAGGAGCCCCCTGGGAACTGATCATCAGGGCCCGAGTCCTGGCCTTAGTGACTGTCAGTGGAAACCTGAGTCCTCATAAGCCCCCTGGTGGCAGCATGGCGGGTGTGCCCTGGGAGGGGAGCTAGGCTATACCGAAACAGGCATGGCGTCAGTAGGGAGGGCGCGCCCAGAGAGCTATGCAGAACCACACTGGATGTTCTGATGTGGCATAAAGCGGGGTTCACTTTGATCCTGAATCACCAGGAAAGGTCTTTGGCATCCTCTTTGAAAGACGGCTATAAAATTTATTTTAGAGCAGTGAGAGTCAGGGGGGACCCTCTCCCCAAAAACCTATTGCCCACCCTTCTCATGCCCATATTGCATTTTGCGTAGTTTCACGGAGTTGGCAGACCCTAGGAAAGAATTGCTACTTTTAAGAGTAGTTTGGATAACATTGTTAAAAAGAAGCTGGGAAAAAACCGTTTTGGCACTGGAAGAACGGTTCTGTGTTCATCTAGAAAGTGAATGTAAGTGGGACAGCTCACTCCACAGCTATGCTGGCTGGGTGAGAGGAGTACATGGGACAGGGGAGGGAGGCGGGTGCAGCTGTGAGGACCGGGGTGACCCCGCCAAGGTTCAGCCGCCTTGTTCTGCGTGGAGAGACCCTGTAGGCCTGGTCCTGCCCCAGGACTTGACGAGGGAGGTGGGGAGGGGGAACATTCCTGGCTTTTCCTGCAACGTGTCCAGCTGTGTTAAGAGTTGCTGCACAGCTGGATTTCTGTTTCCTCATATACAGTACCCAGGACCAAACCAGTGGTTTTCTGCAGTTTTGTGTGCAACTCCAGAAACCCAGAAAGGAGCTGGGTTTCTTTTAAACGATTAAAAAGCTGGAAGGGGCCTCTGTGGTGTGCACGAAGGGAACCTGTGGTTGGAGACATTTTGGGACCCACACACCCTTTACCTGGAGCGGGTCTGCTGTCATCACCTTACCGTGTGGTGTGCCATGGGAAACTGCCATTCAAAATTAATATTTAACTGCTTAAAGTTTGATGAGCACTGGACTAGATTATCTTTTTTTTTAAGATTTTATTGGGGAATTGAGGGAGGGAACAGTGTTGGGGAACTGGGGAAGGGGACTGGCCAAGTTGTTCTTCAGTCTTCATTGTGGAGGGCGCCAGTCGCCATCTGGCTTCCCATCGGCAGCTCGCGGCCTCTAAAATGATACATGTGGCATTACTGTGCTAATGTTATGTGCATTATAAAACAAAATAGATTTTTTGAAAGATGAGATTAAAAAGAAGAGCGGTACTGCCCAGTGAATCATCTTTTATACCCACTGAGGTGTCTGCACCCCACTGTGGAGAGGACTGGGGTAGCCGGAGGTGAAGACGCGAGGACAGGAAGGACCGATGGTTCCAGAAAGCCCCGTACTTCCTGACTTCTGCCCTGTCCGTGTATTCTTTGTGCTACTATTTCCTCGGCAGCTCTCTGTGAATCGACTCACTTGTTTTTTTCTTAAATTTAGCTGCATCCTAAGCAGCAATATCCACCAATGAACATTTTTTCTGTGCAGTTAGAATTTTCTTCTAGTGCACGTTAAGTACAAAACTATGTGAACAAAACGTTTGTCCACATACCACTGAAAAATTATGTGTCAGCCCCCACCTGTGTCACGGGGGATGGCCCTGTGGCATCTGACTCCAGACCATCGTGGTGGGGAAGGGGCTGGTGGGAGTGAGTCCCTGCCCCTCGCTGAGGTCTGGGACCTGTGGGGGGTACACGTCTTCATGCCAGAGGAAAGTTGCAAGCACAGGCATGGCTCACAGAGCCCCAGAAGGGCGGGGAGGATGCGACGCCTCCCTGTGAGAACTTTGCGCAGACACATCACAGGCTGGGTGGGGCGGTGGACCAGCCCACTACGCGGTGCAGCGGCCATGCATCATGGCTGGCCTGCCTGCTGCCAGAACTCCTGCCCTGGGCTAGGTCAGTCATGCATTCGTCCGCTCCAGAGATAGTTACTGAGTACCTGCCATGTACCAGGCCCTGGGCTAGACGCCGGTGTTCTGGTGGAGACCAAGGCAGCTAAGGCAGCCATTCTTAGGAAGCCCGCATTCTAGTGGGGGAAGGCAGGCAGGCAACAAGCCAACCAATAAACAGAAACTATAAAATCTAGGTAGTTATAAATGCTATCAAGTAAAATCAAGGTAAGGGGGGAGGGGGCAAATCTATGCAGAAGAATTCCAAATAATTTATGTAGCTACACCCCTGTCAAGGCGATAGAACGTAACCCCTACTCCTTAAGTGTGGGCTGCACTTCATGACTTGCTTCCAAAGAGTCTGGGATGAAAGGAGGAGAAAAAGGACCTTTCCAGTGGAGAAACCAGGCCAACATTCACTTGGCCGAGCTCCACACGTTAACGCTAGCAGTCATGAGCCATGTTGATACCTCGTACCTTGATGTGATGTGATGACAAGGGCACGCCTTCTCTGTGGTCTTCCTCCCAGAAACCTATCACCCCAGGAAAACATCAGACAAACCCAGATTGAGTGACCTTCTACAAAATACCTGACCAGCTCTCCCCAAACTATAGGGTCATCAAAAGCAAGGAAAGTTAGAAACTGTCAGAGCCTAGAGGGGCTAAGGAGACGTGACAAATACATCTCATTGGCATCCTAGAGAGGATCCTGGGACAGGAGGAGGGTATTAGGGAAGAGCTAAGGAAATCTGAATAACCTATGGAGTTTAGTTAATAATAATTTGAAGAGGTAAAGGAGAAACAGGTGGAGAGGGTGTCTGAGAGAGAAGGTGTCCCTGAGATGCTAATGTCTGAGCTGAGCCTTCAATGCTGGGACTGAGTCAGGCCTGGGGAGGGAAGACCTGGGGTGAGAGCATTCCAGGCCGAGGAAGCAGCCGTTAAAGATCTGGGGCAGAAATAAGGCTGGGCCAGTGGAAGCAGAGTGAGCGAGCTCAGCACAACTGGAGCGGGGCCAGGTGGAGAGGGCCAGGAGGTGAGGTCAGAGGTGGACGGGAGCCAGGCGGCGCACGGCCTTGACACCGTGAAGGCGTTTGGATCTCATCCTGAGTGTGATGGGAAGGCAGTGGGGAGTTTTCAACAGAAGGGTGACATGAGTTAACTTCCACTTAAAATCACTTGGGTTTGCGTGGAGAACAAACTAAGGGGGAAGAAAGGAAGCAGAGGCCAAGTGGGGGTCCCCGTGGGGGTCCAGGGGAAGGTGATGGCTGAGGTCGTGTCAGAGCCCAGGTATGATCCCATCCTTCTGGAAACAGAAAAACGGGTTCACATTTCATCATATTTCCCCCCGCATTTTGTCTCCTGAAGATGGGGGAAATTGACTGAACTCTGGGTTCCAAGAACTAATTATTTGATGGTCTCTACCTGCCTGTCAAAGAACTCTGTGCCAGGGTCACCTTACAGCACAGCAACTGTCCATCTCTTATCCAGGATGGTTTTTTTTATTGGTCTATACGTCTTTCTGAAAAATAAAATGTACGCCATGCTTAAGTTGGTTGCTACAAGTTGCCCTTATTTAATTGGGAGAAATAAAGCATGGTTCCTAACCTCTCTGCCTTCCAGAAGCTGTAAATGGAAACAGAAAATAAAAGGCTTCAGTCATGTCAGAGCCTTTTCTACAGTGTAAATAGTTCCAGAATATTTCCAGTGAATCTGGTTATGTTTTATTAACCACATATTATTTCTTCAGTGCTGCCTCAACTCCTTTGGGAAGGAAGTGTGGTATCAATAAAGTAAAGTAAATATCTTTTTTTAAAAAACCTTGAAATAAAATAAATTATTGCAATTTGTGCTTTCTTGTTAAAATCAGGGCCTCGTTTCTGGCGATGCCCAGATGGAAGGAAAGAGAGGCTCTGGCCTTCGTGTTATTTCTCCCCCCGGGATGCTGCTGGTTGCTCCTGTCGCAGCTCTTGAACTTGTGCTTGACGTGTTAGGAGCGGGTTCACGGGACTGCATCTCGAACATGGGTGTGTCTGTAAATCTAGGTCTGGGACACCGCCTGGCCTCATCCCGGTGTCTGTGTTTGCTTCCAGAGATAGAGATGGTGATCATGGAGCGCAGCAAGCTCCCGGAGCTGGCGGGCAGCACCTCCATGCAGGAGCAGAACACCACTGACGAGGAGAAGAGCGCGGCCACGGGCTTGGAGTGCGTGCGGTGGAACAGGTAGCCACCCAGGGCCCGGCCCTCCTGCGCCCGCGCTGGGGCAGGGCTGCCCACGAGCCTGCCCGGCAGGGTGGGGGCACTGCTCAGTCTCTGCAGTGAGGGTGGGTGCCTTGGCGGCGTGCCCACTAAGATAGCCCAGGGCCTCCTCCCACCACCCACGTGACCTTTGCTGCCTCTCAGCCAAGGCGTTCTGCTTCCTGCCTTCCCCTCCTCCCCACCCCTTGGCCACCAGAGGCACAGCCCCTCTCGAGAGGCCTGGGAACAGAGCTGGCCCTCAGCACTGTGGTGTTCGCCCCTTGGAAAGAGAACGGCCGAGCCATGGCACCGCCAGCCCCAAGCGCTGCGGTGCTAGACCCCGTCCCAGAGGGTGCGGGCTGCCTTGTAGCCTTGTGCTGGCCATTCCTGGCAGCGCTCCGTGGCTCCCAGGAAGGATGCCCTTGGGAGCAGCGTTTGGATCTCCCTGTCTCATTCATTCATTCGCTGCCGCGCACACGGCCGTGCGCAGGGCCTGCCCTCATGACTCAGCCGGCGTGATTTAATGCTGCCGTCCACCTTTGACTGTGTGCCTGATGTTCATTTCAGTGATGGCCTGCCAAAGCTACATCCTCCTAAACGTCCGCGATGCCACATTTCCTGGAACCTCTGTAGCACCGCCCCTTCTGGAATGGACTTGGGTAGAAGGCTGCTCCCCAGGGGTGCAGGGAACTGCTGGGAGGGCTTCGTCATTTCAGCGTTACTTCCTTATCAGGTGGCCGCCACTGCGCCACTGCGCAGACCCCTGTAGTAACCTCCTAACCCCACCTGTGTGCTCGTAAATGCCCAACAGCATGGCTCCTCTGTCAGCCTACAAGGCATTCACCTCCTGAACCCTCGGGGTGGGGGGCTGAAATCACACATACCCCCAATCCTATTTACTGATCCAACTTGAGGCGAAGCGAGGAAGCGCTACTTCTTTCCTCCACGTCTTGTTTGTCTCTCTGCTTGGCACATGTTTCAGTGACCTGGCAGGACTAACTTTTGTCAGATGCACAAGGGAGCCTTTTTTCAGTTGGGGTGAAATAAAATACACTGGAGCACGCTGTGGGCTATCAGCTGTAACTTACAAAGACCTTTTTGCTTTTGCTTGGCAGCAGAAAATGTCACTCCTGCAGCTCTGAAAAGAAGGAAATCATTCTAAACACAGAACAGGAGGGGAAAACAACCTTTACGTGCTTGGCACAGCATTAGTTAAAATATGAATAATTGGAAAAAGCCACAAATGACTAGCTAGAAGTGGGAGGTGCTTAAGCCGATGAAGGCACATCTGCCTGATAGGAGATTAGCTGCTGCTTTTAAGTGAATGCTGTCATGATGTGTTCTGTTTCTTAGGCTCTAATAAATGGAAACAGCACATTTTACATAGTATGGTAATAGCTTTGCTAAAGGAAGAAAAATACCCATGTGTTGTCAAAAAAAAAAGGTTGAACAGACCAAAATGTTACGTTTGAATGTTGTGATTAAGACTTCTTTTTTTGTCCCCACTGAATTTTAGTGAAGAGAATGTTTTCTTAAGAGTTGACTGAGATTATTCCTTCACTTTTGGTAACTTTAACTGGCACCTTCTACCACGTGGCTTATAATGGAAGCTGATCCTGAGGCCGTAAGGTGGGCGACATGCAGGCTTGTGGGCCTGGGAATTTGGGGGCCCTGCTCTGCCCTGAGGCCGAATGCCAAGGAGAGACTGGCCCAGGTGGAGAGCTGCCTTCTCCTTTGCGAAGGTATTGAGTTGTTGGTTGTCAGAAACACCGCCAAGGGCTTCTGCCCTCCCAGTTCCCGGCACTGAGCAAGGGAGGAGGCCGTGAGGGTGAGAGAGGGGGACAGTTTGTTCTCCTTGACGTGAATTGGATCGGACATTGGTCCACTTGTCCGGAGGAACAGCATAGTACAAAGCGTAACTGTTCTTACGTTATGGGCTGCATCTGTAGTCAGGGTTAAATATAAGCCAAGAAACTAAAAACCATTTAAAACATTCTTTCTTTTCTTTAAAAAAAATTTTATTTTTAATTACAGAAGCAACACGCATTCAGAAAATGTAAAAAAAACCTTGAAAAGTATAAAAAAAGAAAAAAAGGTTTCCATGATGCCAGCATTCCAAGGCAGCTGTTACTAACATTTTGGTTATTTCATGCCAGTTGTTTTTCAGTGCCAATTTAGTGAGAATTCTGCCCTTCCCTCCACCAATAAGATACCATGCCATGTCTGTCCTTTTTTTTCTTCTTCTTCCTTTTTTCTGTCTAATAGCAAACCCCAAGCATCTTTTTCACTTTATTGCACTCTTGGTAAACAAAATGCTAATGGCTTCATAATACTTCATTTCACAACAGATGGTACATCCACCCAGGCCTCCCTCTGCTGCTGGACGTTTGATTTTTCATATTATTCCCAAGTGAAAATACAATCCAAACTTCAAGCAGCTGGTTTACAAGGAAACATTTTTCTCCTTTATCCCAGTCTTCACTTGAAAGTGGTGTTGCTGGAGGCTTACAAAAACCCAGGTGCCCCCCGGGGCAAAACTGCTCACACCCCTGAAAGGTGACGCCCCATCTGGGGCTCCAGAGAAACAGAGCCCGAGCATAAACGTCCCCTTTGAGGTTTTTCCTTTAAATTCTGTGTGTCCCGTGTTTGTGTGGAATGTACAGCAAGTACATTTTCACTCCTTTCTCTTTTGCAATTTTTAATGGAATATCCTGAACTGATGGTCCACTTATGGAGTTCAAAATTCAGAAAAGTATAAAAGGTTATGCAGTGGCCCATCTCCCTGCTTCTCTGCCTCAGCATCTCACTCCCCCCACACAACCGATGCTGACAGTAGCTGCATGTCCTTCCAGCGGTCAAGTGCGCCCTTGGTCACTCGCTGAAGCGCTCTGCTCTCTTGGCTTCAGCCTGGTATCCAGAGGGGAAGCCGCAGGCGGTCACGGATCAGAGCCTCCTGCCCGGGGGTCAGATGTGCGCATGTCCTATTATCCTGGTGTTGGAGAATCTTCCTGGGCCAGGCCTTTCACCTGGAAGGGCAGCATTTGGGGGGTGCGGTTTGTGATATTTGCGACCCCTCTATAGATCTCACCCACAAAGCATCCGAGGTGAGAGACCTCATATCGATTCTCACCAGTTAGGGAAAGTTGGTCCAAGAAACGGCTGGGCCAGGACCAGCAGAGTGAGACCGTGGAAAAATGCCCTTGAAGTAATCAAAATAGAAATCAAGTGGCAGCTCTCACGTCCTAGCACTTCCCACTGTGTACCAGGCGCAGGATAAGTGCCTTTCAGTTGTCATTTCACTTGAATCCCTCAAAGAACCATGTAGAGTTGAACCCATCTGTAAGGTGTGGAAATGGAGAGAGTTTACTCAGCTTACCCGAGGGTTTGCAGCTGAGAGGCAGGACCAGACCTGGACCCAGGCCGCCTGGCTCCAGAGCCCACATTCTGAGAGTGTGCCCACTTGGTGCCTGTCATGTTGTCCTGTTTTCTTCATCCTCTTGTCACTCTGTGAAGTGACTCTGTGGACTGTCTGTTCTCTGTCTCTACCCACTGGCATGGGACTTCGTATCATTTATCCCCAGTGTCCGGGACAGCTGGCGAATGATTGTGACGTGATTAAGTGGTCTGTTCCTCAGTCACTCTCCCCTCAAGACAGCGGCTTCCCACGGGCAGAGCCTGTTTCTCGTTTGTCTTATGTCCTCAGTGCCCAGCGCTGGGCTGGGCACACGATGGACCCGCCGTGTGCTGGAGGCAGAACTTAAGGTTCAAAGGCTGCTGGCTCCCCCCGTGCAGGTCGGAGGGGAGAGGTGTTCACCCGTGTGCAGCACGGCGCTCACCAGGCCCTCCTCTTTTCCAGGCCCTTCCTGGACATGGTGTACCATGCGCTGGACAGCCCGGAAGATGACTACCACGCACTCTTCGTGCTCTGCCTCCTCTACGCCATGTCTCATAACAAAGGTAAGGCCACTCATCCCCCTGCCGCCTTGGCATGCCTGCCCTCCGCTGTCTGCAAGGAGGAAGGGAAGCTGCTTTCCTTGAGGAATCTCCTTTCTGGTTGGCGGACTCCCTCAAAACACCTCTTCAGCCTTCTTAGAATTTCTCAGGTGCTTTTCTGCAGACCAGAGCCACAGGAATTGGTTACTCAGTCAACATGGGGGGAAAAAAAGATTCAAGTGTGACTGTCTGACGCAGCCTGACTGTATTCTCACTGTGGTTTTCCTCTCGACCCCTCGCTTTACAACTGCCTCAGTGCCCGGCCTCCCTCCTAACATCAGAGCTGAAATCAGTCCAGCTGTAATCTTGGTTTTGCTATTTATAACAGTGGATGTTCTCGTTCTGGGTTCAGAGCTAAAACAGGCTCTGGGTGGATGGCGGGAAAGCGTCGATTTCCTTTCGGAGGAAAGGTGTGGTTCCCCACCTTCCCCTGCTGAGGCTGACTGGTCAGGACCAGACTCCTGCAGAGCTGCCGGGCTTGATTAGGCTTCATTCATTCACTTCCTCTCTGGGGACAGCCTGGTGCGTGCCCCGCCAGGCTTGACAAGAGTGGGTTCTGAAACCGCCACATCACTTCTTTGAAGAAGGAATCAAGAACATTCCTCCGGGCCCCCGCCAAGAGCTGGGCTTGGCACAGACGAGACTTTGCATCAGGGGATGTTTCGGAGGCTTTTCAGGAGCTTATTGGGAAGTAGGTGGAAGTGGGTCTTACCAAGACAGCCCATGGCTAGAAACATGTAAAAGGTGCTCAATATAACGCAGTGTTTCTTTATTCTTAAACCATTAGTCATGATAAATAAGATGACTAGTGGCAAAAGAGCGTATAATCAAAAAAGCCTTCTCTCTCCCATCTTGGTCCTCCAACTCTTTTCTTCAAAGCAGCTCATGTTACTAATTTCTTGTGTGTCTGTTTAAAGATACCTGTGCAAACCCAAGTACAAGTATGTATGATGTTATTTCCACAACTGTTCCCACCAGTGGAGGTTTTCCTTATTTACTGTCTGTCCTATACCTTGTTTTTCTCACATCAGCACATCATTTCACGTCCCTGTAAAAGCACCTTGTTCTTTTGCATCATACACCTGTGCCATCATTTATTCTGTCACTCCCTTATTGAACGGCACTGAGGCTGTTTCCATGCTTCTCCTGCTAGAGACTGGACTGACCCTGATGGCCCTTGCATGGCACCAGCGATCCCCTCCAGCTCCCGGCTTGGTGCCTGGCACTCAGGAGCCCTCAGTTACTGGGAGCAAACAGACCTCCTTGAGACTAGGCCCCTCCCACCAGCGGATCGCTTGCCACTCCCCCGGCCTCTGTCTTCTGTCCCCTCCTCATCCCAGCTCCGTGACCTGAACCCCTGCCAGTTGCGTGCTGAACACGCACTCTTGGTGCTCCAGCAACACCTGGAAGCCTCCTGTCTACACTACACTCATCGCTGTACGTGGACCCCGACCTCACCATACTTCCTGCCACATCTGCTTCAGTTGAAATTGCCAGCCAAGTCTGAGAGCGCCGTGACCTTTAGCTCCTTCCCTCCTTGGATCCTATTATTTAGTCATCAAGTTTCGCCAGAGCCCCCTCCTCAGCCTCTCTCATCAGCAGAGTTGAACTGAGTGCAGCTCAGCGCCTGGCCCTAAGCTAGGTGCTGGCGGAGAGGACCACAGGCCTAGGAGCAGGAAAGACCTGGGCACGCCATCCCGGTGGCAGTCAGCACAGCCTCGCCAAGGGCTCAGACACTTGGTAGTCCATGCTCCTGGCACCGCCAGCTGACCCTCTGGGACACTGCGTTGAGCGTGCTCAGAAACCTTTTGTGCCTTCTCCTCTCTCTTCAACGCCACCCCCCGGTGCCTGTCACTTTGAGCATCCAGACTGCACCCACTATTCCAACTTGCTCTGATTCCCCCTACTTCCCTTCACAGACCCTTGGTTCTGGCCCAGGGTTAACATTTTTATGTAGTGCTAGAACTCTTTCGTGGAGATAAACTTGCAGCCATGGCGCTCACTGAATTCTTGAATGTTCTTTTGGTTGCAAGCAGCAGGACCCCCCTCTCGCTAACCTAACTAAAAGGGAAAGACTGTAGGAAGGCCCCAGGGGCAGCTCACAGGACCCAGGAAACTGCTGGGACCCCGAGGGAGGGTAGGAACTGACCCACTCTGAGGACTTCCCTTAAGGCTGGGAGTCTGTCTCCATTCAGGCTTCACACTCTCGGAGAAGAGCTCTGATCGTCCCAGCTTGGTGGGTCTAACTCTGGGAGCTGTCAGGGGTGGCTGGAGGTCAGGGTTATATAGCACAGACTTAGCCCCGGGCTGAGCCCTATTCTGGGACTGTTCTCATAGAAGGAGCCCTTTGGAAGCCTGGCAGCCACCCCAGTCAGTGCCAACATGCCTACCTGTTTCCGGTTAGTCAGCCACCTCTTGTATTCACTTATGTTTTTTCCTACCCATTTTCTCTGCCTCATCACCATCACCTACTGAAATTCTGCTTACCTGTGATGGGTCCTAACCCTGACCCCAACTCTGACCCTGACCCCGACCTTAATCCTTTCTCTCGGGTAAATACTGAGAAATGGGATGGCTGAAGCACATGATAGGTTTGTGTTTGTTCTTAAGAAACTGCCAAACTGTTCCAAAATGCTGTATAGTTTAATCCCACCACTAGAGTATGAGCTTCCAGCGTCTTCACATACTTGGCAGTACTTGGTATGATCACCTTTTAAATTTCAGCTTTTCTAGTAGCTATGTAGTGGCATCTTCTTGTGATTTTAATTTGTATTTTCCTTAATGACTAACGGTGTTGAACAGTTTTTCAAGTGCTTCATTTGTTCTTTGCAAATCTTCTTTGGTGAGGTGTCTTTTCAAATCCTTTGCCCATTTTTTTAATGGCTCGTCTGTTTTGTTATTGTTGTTTTGAGAATTCTTTACATGTTCTGGATACAAGTTCTTTCTCACATGAGTTTTGCAAAGTTTTCCTCCGAATGTGTGGCTTGGCTTTGCATCTTCTTAATAAATATCTTTTGAAGAGCAGACGTTTTTAATTTCCATGAAGTGTCCATAGCACTTTTTATACCATTTTTCCTCTGCGTGTTTCTCCTCCCACACTGGACTGCCAGGCCTCTGAAGGTAGAAAGAGACCATGTCTCCCTCAGTGGCCCCCTGAGCACCCAGCTTAGCACCTAGGACCGGTCAGCACGCAGCCAGGGTTGGTGATAGAGTGTCTCTCAGCCATGGGGCCGCTCCCCTTGGCTGCCATCTTCCTGTAGCCTGTGGTCAGGGCTTCAGCAGGGAGATGCTGTCTGGGGGTGGAGACGCCAGGTTCCAGAAGGCCCAGGGGCACATGGGTGAGCGCTCCGTCTTGAGGGTGGCTGGCTTCCCCAACGGGCTTCCTCCTGGAGCCCAGCCATAAGTGGTGCTTTGCACATGCGCTGCTGGTGCTCCTCCGTTCAGTGCTGTGGCCCAGGGAGGCAGCCCTCCCAAGGTCCTGCCTGGGGAGGCCGCCTTTCCTTCTTGGGGATTTCTTCTTACAAGAGGAACTGTATATTCGAGGGCATTTCATGCCTTCTTCCCTTTCCTGCTAATGCTGTTCATTTATTTATTCATTCACCCTTCTAACAAACATTTTTGAAGCCCTCGTGAGAGGCCAGGCACTGTGATTAGTATTGAGAATACAGTGGTGAACCAAACAAATATTTTCATGGAGGCGAGTGTGGCTGCTGTGGAGGGAGCAAGGTGAGAGCAGCGTGACGGGTGAGCAGGGACCCATCATGGCGTCTGATGTAGCGGGATGCTCTGAAGGTTGTTCAAGCAGGAAAGCGTTGCGTAATCCACGTGACTCACACGGGTTTGCTGAAATCCCCTTTGGTTCCAAAAGACCATGTCGTTAGGCAGATCGTGATGAACTTATTCATGTAGTTTTTCAACAAATGCATGTGGGGCACCAGCTGCCTGCCAGGCAGAGCACTCAGCATAGGGGCTATGGAATCTAGGCCGCCCGAGGCCCTTGCCCAAGAGAGCATCAGTCTGGTACTGAAGACCCATCAAGAGACTGCATTACATGGAGGCGAATGCGCCTGGTGGCGGGCATGGGCCCAGCCCGAGGGAATCGAGGCAGACTTCCCAGGCACATCGGGCTGAGGGTTCAGGGGGCTGGGGATGGAGCAGCCAGAAGGTTGAAAGGAAACTGACAGCAGACAGAGCAAAAGGGGGCATAAGAGCCTGTGCCACGTCGTCTGTAGGATCGCTGTTCATTCATCAGGTGGGCGGGCATTGTGCCCATGGTGGGCAGGTGCTCTGGGAGATGGCAGGCTGGAGCCGGTCTACAGGGAGTGGTTAGCAGCAACTGTGAACTGCACCCGAGGAGCTGGGTAGGGGCTGCTGAAGGACAGTTCAGCCAGGAACTGATCTGATCCTCTCTGCAACCTTCGGAATGGGTTCACGATAGTTCAGCCAGAAGATGGGTGGATGGAGATGTGGGCAGGTATGGGCAGTGTCGAGGAGGTGAAACTGAACGACTTTCTCACCTGGACAGATATCTGCTGAGTGCTTACTACGTACTAGGCTCTTTTGTGGGCCCTGGAACAAGTCTGATGGGTCTCGTTCGAGTGAACCAGAAGATAAGTTGTGACTGCAGAGTGATCAAGATGAAACCAGTGGTGGTGGTGCAGGGGTTACTAGCCAGGGTGGTCAGGCAAGGCTTCTGTGAGGAAGGAACATCAGAGCCAAAGTCCAAAGAATGACAAGGAGTCAGCTGTGCAAAGATCTGGGGCAAGAGTGCTCCGGGCAGATGGTAAAGCATGTGCAAAGGCCCTGAGGTGAGGGGAAAGCTTACAGGCTTGAGGAGCAGAAAGCAGGCCAAGGTGAGGCTGACCAGGTAGGGGGGCAGAGACCAGACTGTGAAAGGCCTTGAAGTCCGTGAAAAGGAATTTAGATTGTATTATAAGCTCAGTGGGACTCCCCCAAAGGATTTT